TTTCAAAGACAATGGAGACTTTGATATTAAGGAAATAAGAGCTCCTTTTAAGAGCATCAAGCTAAACCATAGGCCAGCTAGTTCACAAAAACAGTCAGAGAAGGACCCTAAGAGCCTTCCATGAGGTGGGAACAAACCTTAAGGACTGGCCAAATAATTCTATTCCCCTCCCCCCCAATTTAATTGGATGAGATTGTGGAGCAAGTTATATCCTAGATCACTGTTGAAAACAGTAGCTCAGTCAGCCAGCAGTTGATTGAACCATACAGTTGGGTATAATATCGAATGAGGCAGACAGCAGAGAGAGGAAGGAAGGAGACCATCCAAGAGTCCTACTAACTGGACACGGTCATTCCCTGGTGACTGTACATGCCCAGGGCTCACCCTCTGAGGAGCAGCACCGGAGATCTCACACTGCAGGGGAAATAGACTTTCAAAAACAGTCTAGCCAAGTCACTTAGCAAATAAACCAAAACAAGCCCAGAGAAGGAGGAGGGGTATCAGCACCTATAGTTGATACAATACAGTACATTACCTAACGTGCAGATTTTATTAACAAAACTGATACATGCAAAGAAACAGGAAAGTGTGCCCCATATACAAGAAAAAGTCACCAATAGAACCTGTCTGGGAGAGGATTCAGATGTAAAGTTCTTTTCATGTTAATAGATATTTTTTATAGAGACAGGGTCTCACTTTGTTGCCCAGACTGGTCTCAAACTCCTGGCCTCAAGCAGTCCTTCTACCTTGGCCTCAGAAAATGCTGCAATTACGGGCATGAGCCCCAACACTCTGCTCCAGATGTGAAGAACTTCAAGGCAGACATTATAAAGATGTTCAGAGAACTAAAGGAAACATGCTGATAGAAGTAAAGAAAACCATGATGACTATGTGCCATCAAATTGAAAATATCAGTAAAGAGATAGAAATCATTTTTCAAACAAGCAAATAGAAATTCTAGAGTTAACAAGTGTAACTAAAACGAAAAATTCACTAGAGGGGCTCAGTGATAGATTTTGGCTGGCAGAAGAAATAA